ATTTTTAATATTTATTTTTTAGTTCTCGGCGGACACAACATCTTTGTTGGTATGTGGTGCTGAGGATCGAACCCGGGCCGCACGCATACCAGGCGAGCGCGCTAACGCTTGAGCCACATCCCCAGCCCCTTTATACCTTTATTTTGTTTATTTATTTTTATGTGGTTCTGAGGATCAAACCCAGGGCCTCACACATGCTAGGCGAGCCACAACCCCAGCCTCCTCATGTCAATATTTCTATAATCAAAATAGCTTTAGTGTTTTCTACCCGAAAGCCATCAGACCCTTATACCAGCTGTTCCTGGTTCACTTTTTCCTGCCTGCACCTTCCCAAGTGCTACTCTTTTTCCGAGCCACCTCCTCTGGGAGCCTTCTCCTAACCACTATGAAGATGAGGTCCACTCTTTCAAATTTCTACAGTTTTTCCTTTATGTGCCTCTCTAGCCTCCAGCCACTCCTTGGGATCCACTGGGTTTCCTTTGGCTTGTCCCACTCCATTTTCCCAAGGTACCAGCTCACTGAACACAGGGATGCAGCCCAGTTTCATCATGGTGAAACTAACTAGCATGGTACCAACCTACCACCTCCAGCTCAGTTCATACTGGTACAGAAAATAAACAGACACTCTAATATACCATATCATGTTGGTTCATCTAATCTTCCACAGAGGCCAGAAAACAGGTCAGAAGGTCACCTGGCCTAAGGACAATAAACTCTTTCCCAGAAGCTGCTCTTTGAGACAAAGTCCAGGAGGAGCAAACAGTATCAGAGAGGCCTCTGAGCCCCCTGATTTCTTCAGGGTCGTGACAGCCAGAACACCCCACCCTGGGTCACAGAGTAGACTAACCAGGGGCCCTGTCTACCTGGTGAGCTGTGGCTTGTGGCCGGCAGGAAAGGTTTGGGTATAAAAATCAAGAAACTGCCTGTGCATAATGGGTATCTGGAGACTTTTCCTCTGGGGGAACTCTGACTCTGCCTCTCTTTTCTTCCTCATAACACACAGGGCATTTCAGTGACAGCTTTGGAGTCAGAGAGACCTGGGTTTGAATCCTTGTTTGGTCGCTTGCAGTGAAATCGATGTTCCAGAAGACCATGAGGAGAAAAATTAGGCAATAAAGGGCTGAGAGCAACTTGAGGTACCTAATTGGCCCTCGAATATAAAAATGCTTCATTTG